AATTAATTGGTTTACGTGATAGTTATAGCATCTACAAATGGCGGTGTATATTCTGGAATTTTTTTTTTAAATTCTAGTAATGGCGGCGATCAGCGACTTATAGCGGGACTGTGGAGGGCTTTCTGACACTGAAGGGGAAATTACTTGCCACTGACATCCTCACATACACTAATATCATTAATCTTCCAGTGGATATACCGGTGTTTGTGATAACTGTCAGAGAATTCCCCCTCGCTTTGGAGAAATTTCCTTTCACTTCCTGTTGCATCTCCAGGAAAGAAATTGAAGGGAAATCTCTTCACAGAATACAGAGAGCAAAAAAGTACATGGGGGTTCTCCCACTCCCCGCTCCATGGAAAACTCAAACTTTATTTACAGACAGAGCGCATCCTCCCACAGACAATTTGGTTTCGCTGCTATGGCCCTCATCAGTACAAGAATAATAATTCTGCTGAGCAATTGAAAGAGCATGGAGGCTTTTGAAAAAAAGGCAGTAAGTTGTTTTTTTTTTTTTTTGTTTTTTTGTTTTTTTCTCTCCACGGCGGCTTTTGCTGCCTCTGAATTTATAAATGCCGATTGCCCAGATGAATGCTGGTTTAATTGCATAATAACAAGACTCAGAACAAAAATGCAAATCAGGTGAATCTGGAGACAACCAGGCAGCTAAAGTCTTTTGAAAACCGTTTGTAATGGAGGCCCACATAGTTCTGTCATTACAGCTTTCATATAAATGCGTAGAAAATAAACACAACCCTATTAAGAAAGATCAGGTGTCTTCTCCTTTTGTATTCTCTATCCACACATCATTCAGTGCTGGAAGCACTCTTGAAGTGGATGAGTGGTGTCAGGCAGTCTGGCCATCACCTGTTGGGTTGTTTTTTTTTGGGGGGGGGGGGGGGGGGTTTGTCTTTTCAGGAACATCTGTGCGTATTTCACACATTTTGCACAACTCATGATGGATGGAGCTATAGGTCACACAGAGCAGCTCAGCGGACTTCATACCTGTGCGCTGTGTACTGCCTGTGCCCTCAAGAATAAATGGTTTGTGACTGACAGAAGAAAAACACATGTACATCTAAAGGTTTGCCATGGATGTCTTTTTAGAGATCAAAGGAATTGACGCATCCTGATAACGTTTTCTGTAAATTTTTTACAAACTTCTGCCCTGTGCAGAAGGAAAAATCTATTAACCCAGTTACCAGGTGTTGGCATTTTTCCAAACATTGGGGAAGGGCAGGATAAGCTAGTAATGTATGTAATGAGTAGATAAAGCTTACATTAGAAGTATGGGTTTAAAATAAAAAAAACAAACATTTGCACTTTCCTAAGTGGATGCAGCATCCATCAGTCTGATCCTGTACAAATATACAAACTTTTAACACCACAATGGACTTACATTATTTGATTTTGTGGGGAATTAATTGAACTTTTGAGCCTCTTCTTTCTCTTTATTGCATTTAAAAGGGAAAAGGTGGTAAAACACATTCTATTTTTATATTCACATATGTCTCTTTGCAGTGTATTGAAGCCCCCCTCCCCCCCCTTCTCTTAGAAAGTAATAGGAATGCTGATTAGGAAGTTAAAGCATGAGTACATTCATCCATATGACAATGGCTGGGCCGAGCATTAGATTACTGAACACCCAAGTCTTTAATTGTGATATTTAGGAGTAGACCTAATGTTACTGGAACCATGAACGTTGCATTGTGGGGTTCTGGGTAGGCATAAAGTTATAGAAATTTATATATTTTGCAGTTATAAAAAGTCTATATATTTTTTATATAGGCATTTTGTGGTGGTGGGAAGACTTGAGTGTTTTGACATTTTGGCAAGAATATTTGTGAATATAAAGGTATTCTCCTCGTGACTGGGATAGATGAAAACGTATTGTCTTCTCCTGTAAGTTTTACACCAACCATATGTGCCACTAGGGTTTAAGCACTAGTACCAAATCATTTTGTTTCTCTTACATCAATTTCTAAGTTCACTTGCACATGGGCACTATAATTTACAATATTCATATAAGATGCTGCACTTAGTGGTTTTAAAGGCTCAAGGTTTTTCATCTTCATGCATTCTATACATGAGTAAAAAAAACACCTGAGCCACATTGTGATGCAGCAGTATATGTGAGAGCCCTGGCTCTCTAGGGACTCTCCCTCCTCCTTAGCTCCCTTTGCTGTCAATCACTGCCAGTGAGCCAATGAGGGGAGAAGGGGGGCGGCTGAGCCATGGCTCTGTGTGTGTGAATGGAAATGCAGAGCAGCTGTTCAGGAGCAAATCTGCTTGGGTGCTCCCATAGCAGGCTGCTTGCTCTGGGGACACTCAGTAAGGGGGGAGGAGCTTGGAGCACCAGCAGGGGACCTGAGAAGAGAATTGGGGCTGCTCTATGCAAAACCACTGCACAGAGCAGGTAAGTAGGACATGATTGTTTTAAAAAAAAAAAAAAAAAAAAAATTGTCTTTTAATATCACTGTTCAGATCCATAAAAACAAAAAAGCTCCATGGCTTCAAACATAACTTTTTTTTTTTTTTTTTTTTTTTTTTTTCCTTGTGGGAGAGGCAGAAGTTGTCTTGGCCTATGAAGGCTTTGCATCTACATCTACACAGTCACAACTTTTGTTCTTTGTTGTAAAATTGTGTTCACAGGAGCACACCAAGTCAACCTATGGAGCTCTATTGTTTTGGTGTTAAGACATTCAGAAGTATTAGAACAAGCTTTAACTTGTCATTTAACCTAAACAGGACTGTAACATTCTTGTTAGAGTTCACTGAATTCTCTTAGGAAATTAAAACAAGCTTGTGGCTTTTCAGGTATCCCAGCCTGATCTGATGGACTCTTCTAAACAAGCAGACATTCACTTCCACAGTTCAAAGAACAACGTGTTATCTACTTTCTCAGCAGAAAGTAATACAAGTAGACCAGCTTCTTGTCTGTTTAGCATCCTGTGTTTGAGTTGGTAAAATTTTGACTGTCAGCACTATGTAAATGTAAGAAATTTCAGTGGGTGGAAAATGCTTACATGGCACTGTAGGTTTCCAGGAGGTCTTTATGGAGTGTAAAATTTCATTGAATTCTACAGCAGCTACTTAAAGAGGAACTTCACCCTGATAACAATTACAAACAAAGGCACCTTTTAAAATTGTTTAGTAATGGCAGGCTACAAACGGATACTTAAAGATAAACACAAGTGGGTTTTTTTTTTTTTTTTTATTTCTTTTAATTTTGTTTTCCTCACCATTCTGACAATGGCCATTTTCACAGAGGGCAGATGAATCCATTTCCCGTTCCCAAAACTCTGCCTGGAGCTAAGGGTCTGCATCCTAGAATGTGTCACAATGCAGGGGCATTTGAGGGGGAAGGAATATAAACACACACACACCACCAGTTTCTCAGTCTGCAGATAAGGGGTAAAAATACACTATTGTAGGTAAAAGCAAAAAATGTTTAATGAATGTAAGGTGCTTTTATATCATCATGCAAAGCTGCATGCTGATGTGAGTAATGGTCCACTTAAAAGTAGAATTGTAGTTATGGATACTTTTGCATTGTTACTGGTCCAGCTTGGGCCAGTGCAAATATATATATATATATATATATATATATATATATATATATATATATATATAAGTGCTCACCATAAATGAATACACCCCAACAGATTTGTCAGAAAACCTTTACTTTCAGAATCAACATTTTGTATGGGACACTATACTGCAAAATACTTCCACAAATGAAGTCCATTGATTGCAAACAAGATTTGTTTGCACACACAAAGTATTTTTTCAAACAAATTCATTCAATACCATGGTGTTGCAAAAATGAATACACCCCCAAATGAAAGTCTAATGCAGGCCATAGATGGGGAAAAAAAAACGGCCGATTTTTCGTCCGAAAATAAAACCGGCCGATTAACTTATCGTTAGTGGACGATTTTGTCGGCCGTTTTTCGTGTATTTTGGACTTTCAGATTATCGGTGATGTTGGAAAATTTTCGAAAAAACGCCCGACTTTATCCTCATTGATGGTCAAAAACGAACGATCGTTTTCCGAAAAAGGATCACAAAGGCCACAAAATGACATCATTTCCCGTTATAGGTTACTCATTAATCGGCCGATTTTTTGTAATAATTGGTGATCAGGTAAGTTTTTTAGACCGACCGATAGTTCGTTAATCGGCCGAAAATCTGCCGTTTTTCTCCCCATCTATGGCCTGCATTAGGAGCAAAGCTAAATAATAGACAGCGAAATCCTAATTAACAAGAATTCAGCTACAGGTGAGTCTAATTATTCAGTAAACAGGTGTCCAGCAGACAGTTCCGTATAAAAGGGCATTACGTAAAGAAAACTCCTTCCCATCTCATGCTGTCAGCAATGGCACCACATGCAAGAGAAATACCATAAGGCCTGGGAAAGAAAATGTTTATACACAATAAAGATCAGCAAAGCTTAACAAAGATGGAACAGCAACCATCTCACAGATGACCTGGCCGTCCACGGACATTAACACCTCAACAGGAGCATCTTCTGATGAGAAGTTGAAGAAAATCGCCGTGCAAGTTCACTGCAGATAGTTAAATAGCCAAACTGGGGTGATTATTTCCCGTGACACAATACAGCGTACAGTGCAGAGGAATGGCATGCATGGCTGTCATACACAAAGGAAACCTCTCCTAAAGCCCATGCACTAATAAGCCTGCCTAGAATTTGCCAGGGCCCATGCTGAATAAGACTACTTGGGACTCTTTACTCTGGAGTAATGAGACTTAGAGAAATGTTTTTGGAACTGATGGATTCAAAACTGTATGGCGTTGCAAAGGTGAGGAGTACAAAGAAAAATGCATGGTTCCTTCAGTGAAACATGGTGGTGGCAGGGTTGCATGAGTGCTGCTGGTGTCGGGGAGCTGCATTTTATTGATGGTATCATGAATTCAGATGTGTTGCTCTACATTGAAAGAGAGGATTCTACCATCATTCCGTTGCCTTGGTCATCGTGCACTTTTCCAACATGACAATGATCCAAAACACACATCTGTCACTGTTGCTTTCGAAGAACAGGGTGAAAGTGATTCAGTGGCCAAGTATGTGTCTCCTGATCTGAACTCAATCAAACACCTATGGGAAATTCTGAAGAGACAAGTTCAGCATTGCTCTCCATCCAGCATCCAGGCTCTAAAAGACGTTCTTGAAGAATGGAAAAAGATCAATGTAGCAATATGTCGCCAACTTGTTCATTCCATGCCTAGAAGACTTGGTGCTGTCCTTAAAAATCATGGAGGTCATAAAAAATACCAGATGTACCAGTTTTTTGTTGTGGGGTGTGTTCATTTTTGCATCAACTAATTTGAGTAAAACTGAATAATTTTGTAATCGAAGTTATATTAGTAACCTTACTTTCATATAATGGACTAAACAAATGTTCTATAAAACTCAGTTTTGTCAAAAATGTTGGAAATCGTTCTTGTATTTGAAATTAAAATCTTACTTTTCAAATGGTGTGTACTCATTTATGCTGAGCACTGTACCAATATAGCGGGATTCAAGCAGGAATGAGACAGCCTTGAAGATGACCCCTGTACTGGCAGATTTGCAAACATGATCACACCAGGAAACGTTTAACGTGTGCACAGTGAGGTAATGGTGGATCACCTAGTTGACGTCCAGACAATTGATAAGATAACAGGCATATCAAAAACTACAATTCTGCTCATATTCACCCAAAATCTTGATATGCACAAGGTTTCTGTCCAATGTCCCATGATTGCTGATGCCTGATCATAAATGCACGTGACTCATGACATCCAGGGACAATCTGCAACTGTTCAGGAGAGATTCAGGATACTCCTATGCCAAACCAGGCTCAATGTTACATAAACAAAGTGATGGCAACAGTCTTCTGGGATTCCGAAGGTGTTGCTCATCACTTACTTTCAGAAAGGACAGACTATCACCAGGGGTTACTTTGCAACCTTGATTCATAGTTTGCGTGATGTTATCAAGGTGTAAAGAAATTTTATACTCCTTTTTTTTTTTAAAGAAGTCTTGTTCCATCAGGACAATGTACCGCCACACTGATCTGCTGTGGCGATGGCTGCCATCCATTCCTTTTTGGCTTATTTCTCGTTACCCATCTACCATACTTACCAGATCCCACACCATCAGACTACCACCTAGTTAAAAAAAAAACTGATAAAGTAAGAAAAAAAAAAAAATTACTTTATTGACATTAGATACTTCAAAGTCAAGCCGAGAACTTGGAACACACCTCGTATATAAAAAGTTTTGGAAAATGTTTATAAACAAATTTAATGTGCAATAATAATCTTCTATTCTGGTGGAAACTTTTTCCAGCTGGCTGCTAACCTTTTGTCAGTTTATTTAATTGGTAGACACAGGTTGATTTACTAAAGGTGTTAAGAATCTTTTACCTGAGATTCACTATCACAATCATGTGTAAAAAAAATTACTGTTTTTCATCTGCACATGATTGGGTATCTAAAGTGAACATACCTACAATTTTGAGTGAGGGTTCTCAGCTCGCTTAGCTAATCAGCCTCTGTAGACTACAGACTCATCATCTTGGCACTTCCCATACATACTCCTACATCTTTGTGCATACTTTTTTTTTTTTTTTTTGTTTCTCTAAGTGAGGTGGATATTTCATATATTGTTTAATGGTTTGTACAAGCTGCTTGGAACAGAAGCGCTGCTATTGTTTTGTATCCATGAATACAATCCTGTAACGAATGATACCAAGCCTTCGATAGCTTGACACCATGCCCCCATTGTGACTTTTAAAAAAAAAAAAAGAAAAGGGCATTGTGCCAGTGTTGTGAACAGAATTTTTAATCTTTCACGCTTTAATTCCAGCCTTGATTGTACTGTGGGTGCAGATAGAGGTTAAAGGAATGTAGACATTAAAAATCTTCCCGGACTTTGAACTTTTCAAGCTTTTGGAGAAAGTACGTTTGGATGATTTTTAACTAAAATTATATCAAGTGATTTGGATAATCTTGCACTGCATCCATTAAAGCAGAACTTCACCAAAAAGGTGTTCATATCCTCCTGGGTAAACCTGGTTTCAGCAGGTATCTGCTCTCACTTCTGGTCAGATGCGTTGTGGCAGTCTAAGCTGGAAGTTCAGCCCCCCTCCTTCCCTTGCAGCCTTCTGGGACACTTCACAGGTCACAGACTGCAGGACCATTTACAAAGCTCAGCACGCTTCACGCATGTGCAAGGCTTCACTGCCAGTTTCCCTCACCTAAAACAGCAGCGCCTGCACCCAAAGCCAATTGAAGAGTCGGTTCAGGTGAGGACATTGCTGGATTCCCCTGGACAGCTAAGTATCCTTATATTAAGTCAGCAGCTGCAGGATTTTTAGCTGATGACTTTTTAGGGGAGCTTCTAGCTCCATTTTTACCTTCACATGATCCAAAAATTGATTAGCACTTGGGCTTTTTATTTTCCAAATAAACATCACATTATTATTTCCATAAAAAGCATACTTTATTAGTATATTAACAAACTCCACTTCCATTCATTGTTATAATGGTGGGGAAAAAAAACCCCATTTAAGTCATTGATGGTAATTTTCACAACATAATGGATACACTGTACATGCAATACCAGGAGGGCGAGGTGAATTTGACGTGTTTCAAGCTAGGTTTTTCAGATACAGGGAAAATATAGAATTTGTACAAAATGTTACTGGGCTGTAGCTGTGTCATATCTGTTACTACTGCCAAACCAGTTGTGTTAGCAATATGCGCTCAGTCCTTGTGGACAGCATCTTTTGTTGTCACACTATGTGACAGCAAAATTACATGTTAAGACCTGTAATTGTCGTGTGTGTGTGTGTGTGTGTGTGTGTGTGTGTGTGTGTGTGTGTGTGTGTGTGAGTGATTTTCTTTCTCTCTCTCTCGCCACTTTTTTTAGGTACACCTGTTCGATTGGCTGATTAGCAATTTGTTTTACCAGTCGCATGCATTTAAGCATGTAGGCGTGGTGAAGACGGCTTGCTGAAGTTCAAACCAAGCATCAGAATGGGGAAGAAAGGGGATTTAAGTGACTTTGAACATGGCATGGTTGTTGGTGCTAAACGGGCTGGTCTGAGTATTTCAAAAACCACTCATCTCATGGGATTCTTATACACAACCATCTCTAGGGTTTACAGATATTGGTCCAAAAAAGAGAAAATATCCAATGAGCAGTAGTTGGGTGGACGAAAATGCCTTGTTGCTGTCAGAGGAGATTGGGCAGACTGGTTTGAGATGATCGAAAGGGAAAAGTAACTCATGTCAATATGGACCAAAATCTCTGAGAAATGTTTTCAACACCTTTGAATCATTGCCAAGAAGAATTAAGGCAGTTCTGTGGGCTAAAGTCTAACACGTTACCAGCAAGGTGTAACTAATAAAGTGGCCTATGTGTATATATATATATATATATATATGTGTGTATATATATGTATATATATGTGTGTATATATATATATATTTATATATATATTTACACACACACAAAAAGTGTAGCTGCTGACTTTTATTTTTTTTTTATTCATCTGGAACTCCGCTTGGCATGTAAAGGCAGGCGTCCCAATACTTTTGGCATTTAGTGTGTGTGTGTGTGTGTGTGTCTGTGTGTAAAAAATAAAATAAATAAAAATAATTTTTAAACAAAATTTTAAAAAAGTGGTATGTATACGAAGATGTACCATACAAGTAGATGTGAAATCAGATGCTGACTATAAATTGTGGAATAAACTGTGTATTTTGTTATGCCTATTTATCCATGTTTTTGAGGGTGTGAGCAATGTGGCAGAAACGGTGTGTGTGTGTGTGTCATAAAATTGTTTTATGTAACCATTTGCTTTACAGATAAAAATGTTTTAATAACTTTTTTTATAAGTCTCTGTAAAGCTGCTTGCAGATCTAATGTAAATTTAAAGATAATGTTAAATTTGTTTTATTTCAGCCGCATGAATTTGATGAATGCCGTTTTGATATCAGTGTTAATGACAGCGTCTGGTACCTGCGTGCACAGGATCCAGATCACAGACGGCGCTGGATAGATTCCATTGAACAGCACAAGGTAAGACTTGAATTTCTTTTTTGTTTGCACCTTAATGTACAGCTGAGGGATATGTCAGTGCGCTAACCTAAAATAAATTCCTTCTGTAAGTCAAACATGTTACCAGACACCTGTAGAAAGCAACATGTAGGAAAGGACATACCTTTTAGTATCTTCTTTGGTCTGTAGCCTCTTAGGATACCTATGCAAGTACTATATTTCTGAAAATTGAGCAGAGCCATTCCCCTACCTTTCATGTGACAATGCCTTGCTCAGCCACTGTCCATACATTAGTTTGTTGGCAGTGGGTGGCCCATATTTGTCTGAGCTGTTTAGGAAGAGCATTCTTCAGTGAGGAAGTGGTAAACATACTCTAGTACTTTGATGCTTGCTTTGTTGGGCTTATAGGTGTCTGAGCTGGCTGACTGGCCCTTGTAATTTTTATATATTTTCACGCTAACTGATCAACACAGTTGGGTAATGGCCATGATGATATTTTGCTCTACCTCTAGTGATATTGTGTGTGTTCCACATTGGTTATGTTCTAAGCACTTACCATTTAAATGCCTCAGGAAAGTGACAGTTCTTTGCCTAATTAGTCAACAAAAAACAACAATCAATATTCACTAAGTGGAGAGATGTTCCTAACTAGTTCATAAAAACCAGTTCCTGCCAATACCAATCCCTGTTGTGCACACATCTATGTATTCCCTGTGTAATCTGAAGCTGCCATTTGTATCTGGAGTGCCTACTACTTTCGGTAACTACTTTCACATGACACCTCACACCCAGATGAGTGACCCAAAAAAGTGAAATTGCTAATGTTGCAGAACACATGATCAGCAAATTAGGAAGTTTGCAGGCAATTAGCTTAATCATCTGTTTTGCATTTTCTAAATTTGAAAAAACACTGGTTTGTTCACAAATTTCCTTTTACTTGAAGAATCTTCACTCTAAACAAAAATGTAAAAGCAGCTACAAATACTATAGCTCTTGACTCTTAAACACACACTTACCTGTTCCAGGATCCAGCAATGTCCTCGTTTGACCTAGCTCTAGGCTGGTCTTTGGGTCCAGGCACGGCATCTTTACTGTGGGCAGTCGACTGTGACTCCTTGTGGCTTCACAGCCGGCTGCACATGTGCGAGCTGACTCCGAGCACTATGAATGGTCCCATAGTCTTCTGGGACCTGTGACGTGTCCCAAAAGGCTGAGGGGGAAGGAGGAACGCTGAACTTCCGCTTGGATCACCGCGGTGACTGGACCGGAAGTGGGGGAAGGGGGTACCTGTCAAAACTAGGTACCCGCTCCTCCCTACCCCCCCCACAAAAAAAGTGTCAAATGTGAAGGGGGGGGGGTCAGAACTTCTTTTTTCTGGATGAAATTCTGCTTTAACAAAGTTGTGAAGAAATTTCTATAACAGAATGCCATTTTATTTAGGATCTCTTGCTATTTATTTCCACCACAGTTGTGTTTTGCATATATTTGCTTTTTTTTTTTTTTTTTTTTTTTTTTTTTTTTTTAGAAATCGGATGACTTAAAAACTTTCTGCACCACCCTCCTGAAGTCCTGTTTTATTTAATTGAAAATAGATTGAACAGATTGCTTGGAAATTATGTTTCATGCAGGCCATTCTTGTAACATTTAATTGATTTTTCTTGGAAAGCACAATAGCTGCCTTATAATGCCTTCATTCATTTTGTGATTATTCTTTAAGGCTGTGTATATCTATGTAGAAATGCCCTCTGCTTTGTGCATTAGGTGATGGTGAAAGCATTGTCTGTTTATGCCGCACAGAACGGCGCTTTGTGCTGCAGGCCTGCAGAAGATGATCCTTTGTTCTACCTGATGCCAGCTAGACAGTGGGCTTCTGAGCTTTGGCTGTATTTATAGGGAAAAAAAAAAAAAATCTTTAAATCCCCCCCCCCCCCCCCCCCCCCCCCCCCCCCCCCCCCCCCTAACATATTTGGTTGTGTGGGTTTTTTGTTGTGTTTTTTGTTTTTTTTTTTTTTTTTTTTTTTTTTCTTTTTCTGAAAACGGGCACCTTTTTCATACAGGTTCCCAGTTCCCCATTTCTCACGTAAGCATTAAGCATGGACCACCCACCCACAACCTCTTAGGACATGTCGCACTGTGCTGGACTCCTGGGCAGGCGAGTGTGTGTTTCCTAAGTCAGCCGCTTTTTTTAATTTTTTTTAAGAAACTACTGAAGTTCCAGTTTAGTCCAATTACTATTTAATGTATGGCTGTCGATAGTTCAAGAACAGGATGAGAGGTGTGATGTGAGGTTCTTGGACATTCAACATCTACACATTCCAAGGTGATTGGATTAAGGCAATATTAAAGGTTCTTTTTTTCCCTGAAATAAGAGATTATACTTACATGCTATGTGCAAGGATATTGCATAGAGCGGCCCCAAACCACCTCCTCTTCTAGGGTCACCCGCCAGTGCTCTTGGCTCCTCCTCTTCTCTGCCACTTCTTATGGTGGCACACATGCAGGCTCGCTCCCAAGCTGGGTTGTGTCTACAGTATGGCTCGGCCCCGCCCCACGCTCCCACTGCTTTCACTGAGTCCTATGAGGAGAAAGACAGAGCAGTTCTGCTGCACAGCTCTGTATTGAGATATGGAAGATTTTTTTTTTTTCTTAAAGCAAAGCTCCACCCAAAAGGGGAAGTTCCACATTAAAGACTGCTCTCCATTAAGGATTGGCACCTTTGGGGCGAGGGGGGGGGGGAGCGGGTACCCGAATTTGACAGGTACCCGCTCCCACGTCCGTCCAATTGCCTAGGCGATCGGAAGCAGAAGGTGTCCTCCCTCCCTCCCTGTAGTCTTTTGGGACACGTGACAGGTCCCGGAAGACTACAGGACCATTCATCAAGCACAGCACTACTCGCGCATGCGCAGTGGGTACCTGGCTGTGAAGCCGCAAGCTGTCACAGCCGGGTGCCCACACTGAAGATGCCGGCCTCCTGGAATACAAGACGGCCGGTGAAATGGGCTGTGGGACACACCGTGGGACAGGTAAGTGGCTGTTTTAAAAGTCAGCGGCTAGTTTTTGTAGCTGCTGACTTTTATTTTTTGACAGGGTGAGTGGAATTCTGCTTTAATGCATTAAGGCTTGGGGGAAGGTTTGGTTTGTTAGTGTCAGGATCCCTTTAAAGTGGTTGTAAAAGTGGAAAGATTTTTACATTTGTGCATTTTATGCATGAAGGTAAAAAACCTGTGTGCTGCTCTCCCCACAGCCGCCCCAATACTTACGTGAGCCTGATTCAGCGATGTGCTCGGGAGCCCCGGCTTTCCCAGGTCTGTCTTCTCACTACCTCCTCAGTCACAACCAGTGAGGAGAGAGCAGGCATGGCCGAGCAAGGCCTTGTGTCTTATAGACGCATACAGCTGAGTTCAGGAGCAAGCGTGCACCATAGCAAGCGGCTTGCTGTTGGGGGCACTGGTCAAGGGGGAAGAGCCAGGAGCAACAGTGGGAGGCCTCAGAAGAGGAGCGTCGAGTATGCTCTGTGCAAAACCACTATAGGTAAGTATGACATATTTATGATTGGGCAAAAAAAAATTAAAAATCCCACTCTTTTAAATGGCACTTATCTAAGTGGATGCAGCATCTGTCCTGCACCGGCACTGAGTGTGAGAACTCCGCGATTACATGATCGCGGAGTTGTCGGCCACTCTGAACAGTCAGCTGACTGAGTGACGTCAGCCGACAGTGGGCTTCCAAGCTTTGGCTGTATTAAAAAAAAAAAAAAAAAAAACACCTTTTAAAAGAAGTGTCCCCCCACAATTATGCTTACCTAGGTGAATGCAGCATTGGTCCAATGCCGCATCTGTCCCCCGCCAGCTCTACAGATGAGAACTCAGCGATGACATGACCGCTGAGTTCTCACAGCCTCTCTGAGCAGAGCGGTGACTTTCGGTCATCGCCGTCTGCTTGGCTTCCCCCCGCGCTCACTGGAGTGCTGGGCTGTGGATGGGAAGAGAGGGAGCGTATCGCTGAGAGGCTGAGCCTGGTGCCACTCCAGACTCTAGGGTGGATCCCGACTTTAAAATTGGGCTCTTTCCCCAGCTGGACCAACTGACGTCCACTGACAGCAGGCTTCAGCCCGCTGTCAGCTGAAAACAGGTAACAGGAGTGCAGAATGAGCTGCACTCCTGTGATCCACAGGAGAAGTACAGCTAAAAGTTTTGGCTGTACTTCTCCTTTTTAATATCACTTTAACATTCTAGTTCTGTAGTCATGAAGTTATTAACGTAGCGCTGTAACCAGCGGGGGATAGTTAACATGCCGTTCTCTAGTAGATGTTTGTTTTGTGGCTAATACAGTGTTAACACTGAAGGAGAGGAATGTTTTTTGTTCTTTTTTTTCTTCGTTATGTTTTTTAATGATATTAGTTGCCTAGCATAAAGGCTGCATACAAGGCTTCTTTGCATGCTGAGATGCCAGTGAATGGTCACGCATTGAGTACAAGATGTTTGACAGAACAATTGCCGACTTTCCTCCTGGAAACATATTTAGATCATTGTGCTTTCATACTGCTTTCTATTTATGAGCATGGTGTAAACCCATGTGTAAAAAGAGCATTCTTTTGGCTCCCTTCCCAAAGCTTTGCAAACTGGATGAGCCGGATAGTCTGGTGGGGATTAGTGAGATGAGAATAAACCGTTCTTATTAAAAAATAAATGATTTAGTCTGCTGAGCACAATAGGATTCGTAGAGGAAGAAAAAAATTGGGGGCATGCTTAAGCTTATCAGCATGTTAAGTCATTGACTTTTACCCACATTTACTGGGTCATTCAGTATCTGGGTAATTGGCTGTTTTATGTCCTCTGTTAATGGCCGGATAATAGGCATTTCTATCCAGTATCTATAAAGCGTGTTTGAACAAAGTTCATTGACAAATATGGGAATGTTTCTAGCGCTTATCAGGCTTGCAGATAAAGTGAACCTGAACCAGTGGCATATTTATTGCAAGGCAAACAAGGCGTTTGCCTTGTGTGGTAACTTTTAGGGGGTGACATAATTTATCCCCTCCCCCACCCAGAAGAAGGGCTACATGTGCCAGGGATGGGGACCTGGCGAGGCTCTGCCTGTGGTCCGCCATGGAATCCAAGGAGGCTGCGTGCTGTTGGAGGGTGTAAGGAAAGTTCCCGCACAAGGAAGACACTAGGCTTGGCTCTGGGAATGGCCAGCTACTTTTCGGAGAGGTTAAGGTCAGTGTTTGAATAATTCTCAATAACTGTCACTGCGGGCGGTGGGGGTGCTGGTGGGGGGCACCCAATATTAGTGTTGCCTAAGGCAGCGCAAGAACTAAATACACCACTGAACTGAACACAGAAAGCGAAGAGTTTATATGTTAAAAGGGACATTTTAATTATTCCTAAGCAGTATTTGGACTTCGCCCTGAAAAGTGCATTTTCAGATATGACGGTGTCTGGGTTCTGTTGCCGGACCACCTTCTTCGTGTTTTAATTTTTTTTTTTTTTTTTTACTGTTGTGGGTTTTTTCCACTTTTTTTTAGCTAAGTGCATTGGGCATTACAGTAAAAACATCCCGTGTGTTTGTTTAATGAAGGGGTCCGCAGACTTTTTGTTTATATGAAGGGGTCCGCAGACTTTTTCCTCACTGACCTGACCTTCACACTGCTGGGGGGCTGGACTATAGTTTGAAAAAAAAAAGCATATATGAACAAATTCCTATGCACACCACAATTAGATATCTTATTTGTAGTGCAAGAAAAAGGAAAAAAACAATACAATATTTAAACTGCATGTATACTCTGTAACATACTGGACACTGCCATGCACTGTTAATCCCACTGGACACCGCGAATATGCATGGTACCTGGTGTGCTTTCCTATTGCTCCTCTGAAATTGCTGCGGCAGGTGAAATGAGGGGCTTCCAGGCTCGCTAAAAGGGGTCCTTGCAGCCTAGCTATTTGCCAGCCGCAACCAGTTTTTTTTTTTTTTTTTTTTTTTTTTTTCGGCTGGTCTCCTGGCTGGGGCTGGACAAATGTTTTTGGCGGGCCGTATCTGGTAATCCCCGCGGGCTGTAGTTTGAGGACCCCTGGTTTAGTGTGTGGCGTGAGCATTCAGCTTTGCTGCTGATCGCTGGGGGGCCTTGTTTTCTTCTTGACGTACTGACTAATGCATTTGTATCACAGATGTTTGAGGACCCCTGGTTTAGTGTGTGGCTGAGCATTCAGCTTTAGGCTATCACAGATGTAGGCTAGGATTCTTGTGTGAGTTGCATGTTGAACAGTACACACCCTAATAGCCCTCCATTGCTTCACCAGCTGGATTCCATAACCTTCCTTTATAAAACTTCTGAAATTTCTGTTTTGGTTTGTCAATAGCAAATTTTTTTTTTTTTTTTTTTTTTGCTCGCACTGAAAAAAAAAAAAAATAAAATAATCATTTTACTTTCAGAAAGCAGAACTTGACAGACTTTCACAAATAAAAAGAGAAACCTATGTTCAATAAATGGCATAGTGGGGCTTCATCGGCTGCAGACAATTGGGCTCTGTGCATGCGCGTTTTTGTAAGCATTTTTTTGTTCTACGCTCCTAAAACTGTCTTAACGGCTTTTATCTAGTTTTTTGTATTTTATTTTTTTTAATTGGAAGGGTGTATGTGATCAGCAAAGGACCAAACAGCACTGTCCAAACATAGGTCCCAGGGTCACGCAGTCACATAGGACAGTGAGAGGAGAACAAATACTCCTACAAGCTTTAACCAGTACTTAGCCAGACACTGTTAGAAGTCACAAGACTGCTATATACTGCTGATGAGAAAAGGTATTTAGCAGTTTATATTTACTAAAATAATTGCACTTCCATGCTCTGTGTACTGTGGGAGACCAGATATAGTGAATGCAGGGTCGGGGTTTAGTAACACTTTAAGATCCCCTTTTCTACATTTTAGGATGCATGATTAACATGAGTTAAAGCCCAACCCCGGTTTATTTTTTCCACTGTTTTATAGGGATGCTGTTCAGAAGCCTTATCTGTACATGCAGCTATTTTTTTAACCCTCTCAAAACTACAGTATGATTCATAGGTTAAAATGTAACATATTGTGGTAATGTTCACTTTGCAACAGATAATTAGCAGTGTGTAACTGCATTCCTAGTTTTCATGAAAATAGTCATGGTGTTAATGGACGCATACCAGAGTTTCTAAACGTGGTCTGGGCGTTAAGCATCAAGAAATATTTGGTCACAAGAGTTGAATTTTCATGGATGATCTAGTTCGTCCCTCTGCTTCAGAGCGGTGTTGCTAATCCATCCCCATTCCTTCCTGCTATGGGTGTCTAAAATAAATCCCCCGTAGTATAGTGGGCGATGTTATCAAGCTGCTGCCACTGGTGAAGCTTCCTATTGGCTGGTCCCTTGCTAATGTCTCTGCCTATGGAGCATATTGGGACATGTAGTCCCAGAGTTGGACAAAGGTGACCTGTGCGCCTGGGATCTCCAACGGCCAGACTCTTGTTCTTGGTGTGTGTAGTAGGGATTACTTGGCTGTATGGTTCACAGGTCAATCCTTTACTGCTCGCCTCTTACCTTGTGACTTGCTGCAAAGTTCCAATGTTGCAGTCAGTGATCACTGAAAGAGAGGAGACACACAGTGCTTCCTTCTGCCTGAATTCGACTGATGACACTCTAAGATGTTCTTCTCAGTTTAGGCACAATCGCTTGGCTGGCATTCGGACTAATTGTGATGTTCCTCTTCCCTTTACGTTCTCCTTGTCCACTCGCAGAATGCCTTGTATCCTGTAAAAATAATAAAGGACGTTTTATGAATCAAAGGAGCTGAGAGCAAGTGACCTGCCATCATCCCTTTACTAGAGCTGGATCTGTATGTTTCAGCACTGAAAGTTTTTGGCTCTTTTATTAGCGTACTGAATTAAAATCGGATTACCCAATGCAGCAGCATCCACACGTGGCACACCCATCATTAGAAGTTATTTATTTTTACATGGCAAATGTCTACAAAATAGTTTTCCCAACTTT